GGAGCTATAAAGAGGAGTGGGATGGATGAGAGGGCATAATATGTCATGTGATTGCATATGAAGAGAGATGGGTAGGTTCAGTGGAGGTGGATTCACTCATGATTTAGAGTTCTTTCTTACTCACTTAATCTATATTGCTGAGAGTTATGCCTCCGATACCACGAGGATGAGTCTTCTCAAATCTCAAAGACTCAATCTAGAGAATTACAGGTTATGTCATCGTTTTATTTGTTATAACATACTACTTTTCTAGCTTGCTATTTCTCCTTGTATATGTCTTCAATTCTATTTGTATATGTCTTAAATTCATCCTTGATTACAAGAACTTTATTATATTTCACAATACACGAAATAGAAAAGAAACTTCGTCGTAGCGAAGACATACTAGTCGTGACGAGACAGCAGGCTGAGAGCACAACATACAAGAATTAAAACTTCGTCACAAACTAAGTGAACAATTGGTCTCGACAAAAATAAAGGTAGAGGCTAAGTAAAGCACAAACACTCCCTTTCCCCACATTTGAAGGCTATAATGTCCTCATTAGTGAGGGCAACACCACAAAAGATTTAAAGCACATCGAAGCATAGAAGAGAGTGAGCGAAATAAAGCACTGATAACATAGAAGGTAGTAGAAAAGTTATACAATATCCAGGTATCATCACAAAATCACTGTTAAGATCTAACATCATTAGCAAGCAGAAAAAAGAAACACAACAAATAGAAACAAGTAGTGGCAAAAGTCTCTAGTCCTTTTTGTTCTCCCTCCTCTCCTCTATATGCGGATTGATGTTTAAAGGCTGGGAGCTAGAGGGTCCAGTAGATGCTTCGAATGGCCCTCTGTAACTAGGATAGCGAGTGCTAAATGCTCCCTTAAACTTGGGAGGTAGAGGAATTCCAAACTGAGTAGCCATAGCTGACATTAAAGGATTGAAGAATTCTTGTCTCTAGGCTTTTTAGGTGAGGACATAGTTCTGTAGAGCCATCATTTGCTGATCAAAGATGTCTTGGAGCAATGTGATTTGCTGGCTAAGGCTCTCCATGGTGATACTAGAGACACAGGTTCTCTCAGCCGCCTCTGCGGTGTTAGCAAGCTCTTCTTCAGCCACTCTCTTGCTTTTTTTTTTTTGCTTTGCATTTTCGCGGGTCTCTTGTTAGAAGATCTATATCACTTGGTTTAGATCCCTTCAAATAATTCATTGTCGTCCTCCACTGGTATTCCCGCTTTGATGCAAAGCTCATAAATCAAGTGAGGGAATACCAAGTTGGTTTTGGTGGAGCGAGCGTACTGTAGGATGTACTCCAGAACAATCTGAGGAATGTCAATTGTTTCCCCTTTCATTAAAGAGTACAGTAGCAAAGCACCTTCCTTGGTGGTATCAGAGATGTGATCACTGGGCATAATGTTGTAGCATATGAAATTTAGCCAGATGCGTGTTTCATCGTTTATAACCTTTCACTCTAAATAGAGCTGATCCTTGCCCTCTTGGCCCACGTTCCACCTTCTACTCAGCAAGTGCTAATGACATTGTCTCAATTAACATCTTGCAAATGCTACCGGTAATTCTAGAACTTACACTTCCTAACAGCAGGCAAATTATAATGCTGTCGAATATTTTTCTTTATGAACTTCACCCCTATTTTGCACAGCTTAATCATTAGTGTATCCTCAAACCTTGTGATAGTGTAAAATTCCCTTACTAAATATTTGTTACCGTGCTCCCTCTTCTTTATCATGTCCCTAAAACCTCTTTGAATAGCTAGCTGGTAAAATTCACATTCAATGGTTTTTGAGAACTCTTTTTCTGGAAGCAGATTTCTAGAATAAATGATGTCTCTAGCTTGCTCTTTGGTTTCAATTCAGGCAGCAAAAGGAGGCATCTGTAAAAGCAAATACCGCACACATAGAACACAAACACACATGAACAAAAACACACAAAAACCAAAACTTCCTAAATTCCTAAGAGGGAAAAAAAAGACTAAGCTAGACCAATCATACACTACACTCCTCTAAAGGCTACCCAAGCTAAAACTTAGCAAACTGAACTAGTTTGAAGAGCAATTCAAAAGAAAGATAGGAAATTGTTTGCAAGAGGTTTCAAAACAGTTTTAAACAGAGCAGAGAATTCTGAAACAGAGAACAAGCAACAAATTCGTCGTGACAAAGTAAGCACTTTGGTTGCGACGAAGATGCAACATGGTCCCTGTCTTAGCTTCTATAATGGCATTTGGTAGCGACAAAATACAAGTTCTCGTCGCGACGAACTAAGACAGATTTTCACCAAAACCATAGTTGAAACAGAGTGTCCAAAAAAACCAATAATGCCAAGCACAAAATTTCAAATCCAGTTCATCTTACTAGTCAAAAGCAGTCTAGAAATAGTCCATAATTCAGAAGTATACATTCTACAATCATTACCCTACTCAAAATATGCAAAACTAGGTCATCACCCCTCTAAAACTTAGGAAAAACTAGACTGAGAAAGAACAGAGAGACCAAAATACCTTGAATGGATCAAGAAAAGAGTCGAGTAGGAAAGTCAGATAGGTAGAGATGGCTTTCAGTTGAGTGAATAACCAAATTTTTGGAAGGAAAGACAGTGGATTGCGGTAAAGGGATACTGAAACGTAGACAATGGAAACAACAAACTAAAACTGAAAGGGTTGGGGATGAAAACTGTAGGAAGAGGGGTTCTGAAGGTGAAAAGACAAAGGTTTTAGGGTTTTTGAGAGTCAAAGCGAATATGGACGGTTTTGGGGGAAAATTGGAAGGGTAAAAGAGGGAATACACAAAGTTTATAAGGGGCAAAATAGAGAAAACACAGGTCAGGAATTCTTGGACAGAAGGCATTTTTGTCGCGATCAACATGACATTTAGTCGCTACGAGATATCTTACAGAGGCATTTGGGATTCAGGAAAAACCACAGTTCGTCGTGACTAACTTCAGGATCGAGAGCAACCTTTAAGAGAACCAATAACAACTCTTTTAACCCATAAACACTGAATCCTATACCCCTAAAGCAAACCATTTACATGACACTCTTAGCAAAACAGGCTCCACTAGCAAAAACTTCTAAATTAAACCCAAAACAATTCCTAAACAGCACAGCAAAGCAATCACAAGTCAGAGCTTACAGCAAAAATTGGGAAGAACAACATAAAACATAGGAAACATACCAACAAAGAACACATAAAGCACACCAACAAAAAAAATAAATATCTATACTACTAGAGAGTTTCCTCCCTCACACAAATCCAACAATTTCCGCAGCAATTGATGTCACGAGCAATTTCAAAATAGTAAAGGATAAGGATAGGAAAAAAACAACCTAGGGCTATGGTTTAGCAGGCTTATCATAGAAGAGCTTGAAGAGATGCTCATAGGCTGGATATTTAGTTCCATTCTTTTCATCCTTGAGCTCAAATGCTCTATAGCCAAGGACCTTGGTGATGGTGTAAGGTCTGTCCTAACTTTCTTTCAGCTTCCCGTCTCCAAATTAGAATTGGGCTTTGAATTTGAGAACCTTGTCACCAAGCTCAAATTTCTTCTCATGAATGGCTTTGCACTTTTCCTTGTACATCTGGGAGTTATCATAGGCCTCACGTCTCATCTCTTCTATCTCTTAAAGCTGAAATAACCTTTCTTCGGCAACTTTGTCCATCTCTTTGTTGCAATTTGAAACAACCTAATAAGCCTTATGCTCTAATTCCACTGGTAAGTGGTATGATTTTCCATAGATGAAGCGGTATGGAGACATTCCTATGGGGTTCTTGAATGCTATTTGGTATGCCCACAATGGATCATTGAGCTTCAAACTATTGCCCTTCTTGAAGGCTTTACCATTTTCTCTAAAATCCGCTTGATTTCTCGGTTGGATACCTATGCTTAGCTATTTGTCTGAGGATGATAGGTAGTAGATGTTTTGTGTGTGACCCCATATTTAACAAGTAGGCTACTAAGAAGCCTATTGCAAAAATGGGTTCCTTAATCGCTTATTAAGGCCTTGGGAATCCCAAACCGACTAAAGATATTAGACTTGACAAACTCAACCACAGTTTGGGCATTATCTTTCTGGGTAGAGATGGCTTTTATCCATTTAGAAAGGTAATCAACTACTAGAAGGATATAAGTAAAACCATTAGAAGGAGGGAAGGGACCCATAAAGTCAATAGCCCAAACATCAAACATCTTATAAAACAACATGGGCTTTTGAGGCATCCCATGCCTTCATGCCCTGTTTCATGTAACAATACTATACTTGTTGAACCTTTCACTAACCCCAAAGTGCTAGAGAAAGGTACTTCTTGTGATGATTTTGTAGGGCGTAGTGGAGTTGTGAGGTCTCAACCTAAGAAGCCATATCTAACAACCTTTGGAGTTGTGAAGTGTTGTTAGATTGGTCAAAGGCCATATGACATTTTGCATGTAACTTATATCTACATTGTTATTGTTTAGATGATGATTTTAAATTGTGTTGTTCCATTACACTTATTCACAACAATAAGGCTTAGAGTATTCAAAAGAGCTAAGTTTAGCCGTCAAGTGAGTCACTAAACTCATGAGTTTGTGGGTAGAAATTATGCCTAGACCCAATTTTGTATTTATATTGAAAGAGTTTTCCCTCCCAAGTTTTTTAATAGCACCTTATGGTTATGTCTTAGTAAGGAGAAAAAAAAGCTCAATGAGAACTTTTTTGCATTAGTATCATGGTTAACACATTAAGCCATGTTGATTTCTTTTCTATTATGGTAATATTTATTTAATCTCTTTCCTATTCTATCATGCAGGTTGTTATAAAATAGTTAATTTTTATTGTTGTGAGTAAAGGACTTTTTAATTTGGTATCAAAGCCAAGTTCTAATTATAGGTTCATCATGCTTCCACTTTGCCACTTTAATCAGTGGTGCATTGTGAGCAATCATTATTTGCCCTCCCAAGTTTTTCAATAGTACCTTATGGGTTGTGTTTTGGTAAGGAAAAAAAAAAAGCTTAATAAAAACTCTTTTGTTCTAGTTTTAACTTTTTCTATCATGGTTAATTCAATAGGTCAGGTTGATTTATTTTCTATTATGGTAGTGTTTAATAATCTCTTTCCTTGTTTATCATATAGGTTGTTATAAAATAGTTAAATTTCATTGTTGTGAGTAAAGGACTTTTTAACTTGGTATTAGAGTCAAATTTTAATCTAAGACCCGTGGGTTTTGAGTGTATTATGCTTCTATTATGCCATTAAATATATAATGTTCATGACAATATACAATCATCGTATATACACTTTCCTTTTTTTTTTTCCCCCCTTGTTTCTTTGTTTTGTTATGTACTTGCCTTTCCTCACGTTCTGCCCTTAAGTGGGGGAAGATGGTAAGCAAGTGACATATAAAAGTTGGCAAAAGAAGTCACCAATTGCTGAAAAACAATGTCTCTCACCCCTATAGTAATTGAGTACATTTTGAGAAAACGAGGCTAATGGAAGGAGGAATGACTTCCCTAATTGAGTAGGAGTGGGAAATTTTGATGAGCCTATTGAAAAACAAGCTAGGGCTGAATATATACCGAATCAGATTGAGTTAGGGCCAAACAAGCCTATTGTCTGGTCTAATCCAAGCTTAACCAAATACTAGACAAACTAGGTTTGGTCTTTCGGTTAAGGATTAGTCTCCTAGACTTAGTTCCTTTGGGTAAGGCTTAGGGTACAAGATTCGGTTAAGGTTTGGTCTCTCGGTTAAGCAACTGAATTGCATTAAAAAAAATCACAGGTAAAATTATACCATTAAAAGAATCAATGTGCAAAGAAATAAAATCAACGGCAAAATAACACCAAGCGTTTTATAAAAGGATGTGAAAATGTGAAAATTATTGCATAAAAAAAAGTTGTAAGATGACAAACCATACTAAGTGTTTTTTAATTTTGGCTTGAATGCATATGAGGCTCTCTACAAACTCTTCTTGATTACCTCGTTAGAGAATTTTTGATGGGTAAAATAATGTCGCCTAAAAGAAGGATATCAAAGACCAAAAAAATAATGTAGCCACTCTAATAGCTATGAAGTCAAGTTGTCTTATTTCTGTTTGATTATGTTTTGATTTTGGTTTATAAAAATTACTTATGAATATATAATTACCAAAAAGACATGAATTATTATTAAATACAATCATTTGGGGAGAGATTTTCGAAAAAGTATGGGAGGATAAATTGAAAAAAATTTAGTTGATAAAAATAAATCAGGATTTTTCAAATACATAAGCTACTCCTTGGTGTTTATCCTAAAAATATGGACGAAGAATGAAATCACAATTTACTGGGATTTCATAAAAATTATCCAAATTCATAATCACCTATTTAGATTTAAATAGGCTTATTTGAGCTTTAACTGCTTAACCAGACAGACACTTTAATAATCCATTTTAAAAGTTAAAATTGTGGCCTCCGCAAATTTTATCAAAACACCCAGATTTTATTAAATCAGTTATAAAATCCTCAACCAAACACCCATTGAACAATAACTCTGGTATAGGTTTTTTTAAAAGAAAACTAGGATTTTAACTTTTTCAATTATATCCAAAATCAATTCTATAAATTTATTACAACTAAACCTATTTTCAAAATCATAATTATAAAATCAATTTAGTATATTCTTCCATCGTCAAGCTTAATGGGTTTGAGTCTATTGGACTTTAATTTGCTAAATGTTGTTATTAAATATAAAACAAGATACAAAACCTATCGAGCCTCTTTACATTATAAATGCATTGTGCAATGAGGGAGCCCAAGCAAGAAAAACTTAAAAACAACAGCTATGTTGGGAACAAAAAGACGCTTGGATTCGAAAGTATGCCCAAACTCTGGCCAACAGTATCGAGACAGCCCAAAGCACATCTCTCTCTCCACCAACCATCTATGCACCAGTGCTCTAAGAACTTTAACTCTCTTGAACAAAGGTCATTCGCTCCATAAATCAACAGATTTCCAAACGTAAGATGCCATCACTCAGGAAATGCAAATGGTAGTTCATTAATAGAGTCACAAACGGTCAGATTCGCGAATCGATCACACAGATAGAGTCATTAACAGAGTCAAAGACTGCCAGAAGGAAAATCGATCAATCGAAAAATAGAGGTCCAGATCTAGTAATCTAACTACATACCTATATTCCAACACTACACAGCACACCACGGTTGAGCAATGTTGAAGAACTTGAGAACACCAGCGGCCACGCGAACGAAAGAAGAGATAGGGAGGACAACACCGATTTGGATTGGATAAAGGAAGTCGACGCAAATTGAACAAACTCCTGCCACACTGACGGAAGAAGAAAGAGAGCCCTTTTTCAAGTGTTCCGGTCGAGAGAAGACCCGAAGCATCAACGACAGTGATGGAGGGAGAAGAGCGGCCGGAGGGAAGAAGAGAAAGGAAGATTTGTTTTTGACGTATGCTGCGGTGACAGTGATAGAGGGAGAAGAGCCGGTGACAGCAATGGACGGAGACGCCGACGAGAGCAATGGACGAAGAGTTGAAGTACTGAGAGTGAGGGAGGTAGAACCATGGCCGAATGCATAAGCACTATCTATTTGAAGAGGAGAAGAGCTCGATCAAATGTGGGGGTAAAATTGATAGGTGAAAATTTCAATGCTCATTTAATGCAATCCTAACAGTAAATTGCATTTTCAATTGGTCAGAAGTTACTTTGCCCAGCATTTCCAAATTCCAATGAACGGCATTTCCCCTTATAAGTCAGTTAGTATAGAAGCCCATCTAGACAATTAAGGGTGTGTTTGGGATAGCAGTGGCAGAAATAACTTTTTTTCAATCTGAAAGTCAGATTGAGTAAAAGTTAGATAGAATAATGTGATTTATGTTTGGATTGGGTTTTTAAAAAAAGTCAGTTTGAAAAGCTGAAATTTGTTTGGATGATAAGTGTAAAGGTAAGTTTAGATGTAAAATGATTTAAAAGGATATGAATTCTATTAAATAGTATATATCTAATATTAGATATATATAATGTGACTATTTTTTAAGAAGTAAGGAAAATAAAAATGATTAAAAGTAAAGAAATTTAATTTATTATTAGAAAGAAATTATACATATAATGTGACCATTTTAAATAAAGTAATGAAAATAAAATTATTAAAAATAAGGAAATTTAATTTATTGTTATAAAGAAATTACATATATAATGTGACCATTTTAAAAGAAGTATTGAAAATAAAATTATTAAAAATTAAAAAATTTAAGTTATTATTAAAAGGAAATTGAAAAATAATAAAATACTTAATTAAATATATGTAATGGATAAATATATAAATTAGAAATCATACAAATATACTATTTTTAAACTAAATACATCAAATAACTAATTGAATGCTATGCTCAATACAAATTGGCCTCTGATTGTGTCACACACATGATTCATTTGTCTTGATCTAGGTAAATTTGAAGAGGATTTCTTACCAGCTTGATCATCATTGTTTTTATCAATTGTACTTTTAGATTGAGCTTGTATGAAATCTCTATCAGTTTCAGAATTTCTTTGGAGAAAATTATGTATAGCCGTTGTAACACAAACTACTTGGACTTGAGTTTTATACTTGTAATTTGGCATTTTCTCTAAGATGCGAAACTTATTCTTCCACACCCCAAAAGTCCTTTCTATAGTGTACCTCAAACTGCAATGGTAATAGTTGAAGATTTCGTTATAATTTTCAAATCCCAGTTGTCACCTGAAGTCTGGAAGGTGATAGCGCTCACATCTATACGGACCAAGATATCTTGGTGGAGTTGGATAGCCAGCGTCGACCAAATAATACTTCCCTAATAAATCATGAAATTATGTTGATATTGTGAAATTAATGCAAATATAAAATGAATTCGACATAATTAAAATTGAAGCTAATGAAAATATACCTTGAGTTGGATGAGGGAAATCCAAGACTAGAGTTGAGACACAAGTGTTAAATACACGAGCATCATGTGCAGTACCTTCCCATCCTGCCAACACAAAAGTAAAGCACATATCTCAGTCACATACAGCCATGACATTCTGTGTCGGATATCCCTTTCTCCTGATATATTTGTCTTGCTTCGAAAGACTCACTACACATCGTATATGAGTGCCATCAATTGCTCCTGTTGCATCATTGAAATATGGCGAATATCGTTTATCATTTTTTATTTTTGGGTGAGTTACAAAAAAACGTAGGACCGAGTGGTTTGATATATTCCCTGGATAGACTAAGGCAAGCCTGTAATACTCTATGAAAATGCCTGCTTACAGTTTCTCCTGAATATTGAAACCTTTCTTGAATCATCCTATTACATTGTCCATGACCAACTGTATTAAAAAACATACCAACAATTTCTTCCACTCATAGGCACTTAGAATTTTGTAAACCATATTCGACCAGTTTAGAGCATAATCGCATGAACATTTCTTTTTCCATACGAAACATGTCATAACACCGAACTTCATGATCTCACAAAATTTTTTGCACCCATAAATTACCTATTTGCTGATTAGTTCGTCGTGGCTCTTTGCATACATAAGGCATCACATATTGACTCACCAATACAGCTACCTTTTCATACTATGTTATCTCTTCATCTAAAAAGAAAATTAATTGAGATTGTTCATCTTCCTCCGACTCCTCTTGAGACTGTTCATCTTCCTCTATCCACTCAAACGTAAATTGATTGTTCCAATTTGTCATAGATAATGTCACCTATGAGTGTGGTTAAACTCAACTATAAGAATTTTTTTAAGTGACAAATAAATATTTTTAGGTCTGTGACAAATAAATATTTTTTTTGCTGTTAAACATGCAAACACATAAAAATTAGTCTAAAAACATTCATAAGCTGCAATTACCACTATAAACAACACATATAACTTAGAAACATTCAAAAACATTCATAATCAGTCAATAAGTTACATCATTTCATAGTTCCACAAATGTTAACTTAAAAACATATAATAACAACTCTGGTATGAGTTAGACAAAATAAAGTCATAACATGCATCCTAAAATATAGTTCAAACAGGGGGCTTCAGCCATGATGGTGGATCGTATGCCATATCCTGTAGCTATGCAACCAAGTATTCCGACTATCCTTTTAGTGAAACAACCATTTCCCGAACACTCTTGTGCAACAGAAGTCTTAAGCACTGGTTTCAAAAATAAGAGTTACTTGTAATTTCCTCAAGGCAGAGCACTATGGTCGTAACCTCAGAAATTGATACGTCCTTTATTTTGTTTAGAATTGCCGTTCTATCCTTAGATGCAGTAGCTATTTCACTAACTAAATCTATGATTTGTCTTGAGGCTGGAATTTTTCGCTTTTTCTGCCTACTAGACCCTTCACCTCTCTTCCTCTTCCTATGGCTTCCTGAACCATTAGGTGCAATATTTGCTGTTAAGTTCATGCCTGCCATCTCATCCGTAACTCCTACACTAGCACCTCCAAGATCTTCTTCGCTATCTCCTGATCCTTCAAGTAGAACTATATCAACTCTATACATATTCTCTTCGTCATCCTCTTGTGTTTGAGGTTGGGTTAAAGATGGTGCCAACATATCCTCTCCAGATGCTATCACACCCTTGAATATCGTGTTTAATTCATGAGCAAACTTTAACCCCAGGTACCTAAACTTTTCATACTGGGGATTCTCCTGCAAGAATACAATCAACAAAAATGAAAGCCTATAACAAGTAATAACACAGTTCATAACTCAAGATTAACAATTATATACCAGTTTTTTCTTCTCCCACCACTCATTTGTTGCCACCACTGTATTGTTTGTAGGGTCTCAACCTACACCAGTCTCTTTGGTTAAATCAACCCATGTCCTCCAATCCTTCCTCAAGCTATTGAGCCTATTTTTCAATTGCTTTCTCTCATATGATTTTCCTGTTTTTGCATTGAATGCAGAGTGAATGTTGTTCCACCTAGGCTTTGAAAATGATGTTCCTTGACGATTTTCCAGTAGATTTTCTCCATGCATTCTTTAAGTAACACCTATGTGGTGCTTGTATCCCATGTTGCCTTACCTTTTTCTTTGTTCATAATTCTATTGAAAAATGTCAATCAAGAATGCAAAAGGGAGTTATAATGAACCAGAGCACTTTTCTTCCAACAATGCAGAAATATTATACAAATTCAACAATCTTAAATGAGAAGCATTTTACAAACAACTTCTCGAGGGGGGACACCTAAAAAGATGTCATCCTTTGGTCAAGTTTCAAAATTCCTTTTATGTTTCTTTTGTAAATAAATATGAGAGGAAATATCTAATATATATAATATTTATAAATTATAACCTCAGAATCATATAGATTTAGGTTTGTAAAACATACTTATCAACAGTAAGCATCATTGATGAATATATACGCCACTTTTTAGAAACACCAATCCTCAGATTTTCAAACTGAAAAGTGCCAATTTTTCGGAGCTTGTCGCAAATAATTAATAGGAAAGGGGTAGTAGTTTGACAAAACAACAAGTCATTAATAGAAACACAAAACTACAAATAAATAGCAACACAGATCTTCAAATTTTCAAACTAAAATGCGCCAACCAGTTGAGCTTGTTGTAAATAACTAATAGGAAAGACAGACTAAAGACACAAAACCTCCTTCGTTTAATAGCTATGGAAGAAACAGGAAAGGGGTAGTCAGTTCTTCCTCCTACGGTACTACCAAGTTCGACAGGTAGGCCACATTAATCGAAAGAACATCAAATCAAGAGCAAGAACATCATATTAACACTCCTAAATCAATAACAGCTATGGGTTCAAAAATTCTAGC